AAATTATACTTAGTAGAACTTATCTTTAGTAAATTATTCTTAGTAGAACTTATCTTTAGTAAATTATTCTTAGTAGAACTTATCTTTAGTAAATTATTCTTAGTAGAACTTATCTTTAGTAAATTATTCTTAGTAGAACTTATCTTTAGTAAATTATTCTTAGTAGAACTTATCTTTAGTAAATTATTCTTAGTAGAACTTATCTTTAGTAAATTATTCTTAGTAGAACTTATCTTTAGTAAATTATTCTTAGTAGAACTTATCTTTATTAAATTATTCTTAGTAAAACTTATCTTTAGTGAATTATTCTTAGTAAAAGTTATCTTTATCAAATTATTCTTAGTAAAACTTATCTTTAGTGAATTATTCTTAGTAAATCTTTAGTAAACTTTAATAAAAAGTAAATTGTCAAAAAATACAACAACAATTTACAAATAAATTCATTACCGTAAAATTTTTTACATATCTAATTGTTAGAGATTGTTTATTGTTAACAAATCACAAACTCTGAAATATTATATATCAATATAGATCAGATAATCAGATCAGATAATTAGTTCAGATCAAATAATCTAATAGTCAGTTGGATAAATTCAATAATTCGCTGAAAAAAATTCATCCATTCATACATCGATTATGTTTTTCTGATTTTTCATTGAGTATCCGATGTTGATGATGATGATAATGATAATGATAATGATAATGATGATATGTGCTTCTTAATGAGTAATCGAAATGGAAAATCAAAAATTTGAATAATTGAAAAATTTTAGAAAAGAATAAGAAAACAAACTAAAAAAAGAAAACATTTAAAAAAAGGAAAGAAAAAGGAAAAGATTTCTTTTTTCACAAATACAATCTTTTTTTCTTCTTATTTTATTACATAATTTATTAAATTAATATAAATTGAATTAAGTTATCTTATCAAATAAAATTATCATATTGTAAGGGAAAAATTTGATAGATTATCATTTATATCATTAATTTTATTTTATATTATAAACAATAAATATGCGATAGTTTATAATAAATGAGAAAATATTCGGGACATCTGTTTAAAACGTGCTCTAAAATACAATACTTCAACATATCTTAGAAATAATATTAACTTTTTTTTTTCTTCTTCCCATTTTATTCTACTTATCCCTAAACAATTAGCAGTTTGTAATTATTAAAAAAAAAAATTTTTTAATTGAATAAATTAATTTTGTAATTGTTAAAAGAGAAAATTTTAATTAAATAAATTAATTCTTAAATGATTTTTATTTTGTAAATTATTAATTAAATAATCGATTTAAAAGATTTTTCAAATTAATCAATATTATCAAATATTCATTATTTTCGAATATTTTCTTTATTTTATTTTATTTTATTTTTGAATTTTTAAACATTCGTTGTCGTATTGAAAATCGAATGAATTGAACAAAGATTATTCGTTGAATTTTTATTATTTGGTATTTCCTCAGGAGATTTAATATGTTAGAAAAAATATCCCTTAATAGAATTTATGAATTGGATGAAATATTTCAGACTAAAAATTCTTCAATATGCTTAATTTATCATCCATTCAGTTTGGTAGATGATGGAATCATCAAAAATTATCAATGCTAAACCATGATAATATATTTTGGGAAAATTGCTTATCATTTAAGATAATTGATAATGCAAGAGTATCTTGTGATATCTCGGAAATAAATCTACAAAAGATTTAAAGATATCACAAATAAAATATCACTGATAATATTTACAAATATAGCTTAATTATCCAAATAAATATTTCATCATCAAAGTTATACATCAATTCTTTGATATATCTTAACTATTACTGATAATATTACTGATAATACATCAACATTTTCATATCCACTTATTGCATATATCATTTCCCTATAATATATTTTAAAATTTATGAAGTCAAAAAGAATATTCAAATTTAAATCATTGTAACATCCAGAATAAAAGAAAAAAAAAAATTGTGCTTAAAAATAAGAAATGATTTTTTTTTTCTGAAAATTTTGAAAGTTTTAAAATTTTAAATAATTTCTTATACGAATTTTTCCAAACATAACAATATCATTTCAGGAGGATTTTGTATTTGCTTGCACATCCGGTGATTCAACAAATGTTATCAATTTATTAGATGAAGTAACTTTTAATGAATTATGCGCAGGACTTATCGCAGCATCTAGTCGTGGTCATGCTGATATTTGCAAGTTAATATTGCATGCTAATCCGCAAACAGCAAATTATGTTGATCCACAACAATGGAATGCATTACGATCAGCAGCATGCAATAATCATGATAATGTTGTCGATTTACTCATTCAAAATGGTTAAATTTTACAAATTAATTATACATTATTACATTTAATTAATTAATTATCCTTTGTTAAAAAAATTTTTTATGAAAACGATACATTTACAATTTGCTATAAATCAATCATTTAACTTTTTGTTTTTTTGTTTTTTTTTTTTTTATTGGAGAAATCTTAGTTTGGTCGTTCTTTGTAACATATGTATATATATACCCCATCACATTAATCAATCAATAGTACAATTATTTAGCAGTGTAAAAGTACTGGGAATTCTCGGAATTATTTCGTAATCTTTTGCGATAATACTTTT